GCCAAGGGGACAGTGGGAGGAAAATTGACGTTGAAGAGCTTCAAGATTCAAGTGGTGAAGGAACCTCAAACACTAGCGATCAACCTGGAGCAAACTCCTGTTGATCCGATTGATGAGTCCGTACCTCTGAGGCGTTCCATAGAGTTAGAGTTTCACCTGAGTTTTATGGTTTCCATATTACAACAGAAGGTGATACATTTATCAATGATGGCACAATGGTAATTTTGGATGAACCTAACAACTACAAGGAAACCATGGTAGGCCCGAGTCTGCTAGATGGAAAGAGGCGATAGACAGCGAGATTCATTCCATGTATGACAATCAAGTTTGGAACTTAGTTACCAATGTACTCGGTAGTAAGACAGTCAGGTGCAAATGGATCTTTAAGAAGAAGACCGACATGGATGCGAAGGTACACACATATAAGGTGTGGTTGGTTATGAAGGGTTTTAATCAAACTCCAGGAGTTGACTATGATGAGACCTTCTCGCCAGTACTGAATATTAAGTCTATTAGGGTTATGCAAGCCATAGCTGTATTTCAAGATTATGAAATATGGCAAATAGATGTCAAAACCGCTTTCCTTAATGCAAATTTAATTGAGGATGTTTCTATGAGTCAGCCAGAGGGTTTTGTCAATGCAAAGTACCCTAATAGAGTGTCTAAGCTTAAAAAATACATTTATGGATTGAAACAATCATCTCACAGATGGAATCTTTGTTTCGATGAGAAAGTCAAAGAGTTTGGTTTTTCAAGAAGCGAGGATGAGTCATGTGTATATGTTAAGGCTAGTAGGAGTATAGTTAGCTTTTTGGTGTCGTATGTGGATGACATATTCTCATAGTAAATGACATCCCAACCTTGCAGGATGTTAAGTCCTGGCTTGGGAAGTGTTTCGCTATGAAGGACCTCAGAGAAGTTGCCTATATTCTTAGGATAAGGATATTAAGAGACAAGAGTAAGAGACTAATTGAACTTAGTCAGTGTACCTACTTGGAAAAGGTGTTGAAAAAGTTCAACATGATGGATACCAAGAATGGTGACTTACCGATCCAAAGCAATGCCAAACTTAGTAAGACTCAGAGTCCGAGTATAGAGGCTGAGATAGTTGAGATGAGTCGAATACCATATGCTTCCGCTATTGGCTCGATCATGTATGCTATGACTTGTACTCTCCCTGATGTGGCCTTTGCTTTAAGCATTGTAAGCAGATATCATGGGAATCCTGGTAAGGCTCACTGAACTATGGTAAAGAACATTATCAAGTACCCGCAAAGGACTAAGGAGTGGGTCCTTACACTTGGTGGGAGTGATGAATTGAGAGTGGTGGGGTATAGTGATGCCAACTTTCAAACCAACAGAGATAAATTCTGCTCTATGTTGGGCTGGGTATTTACCCTGAATGGAGGAGCAATCAATTGGAAAAGTTCCAAGTAGGAGACTATAGTTGATTCAACATGCGAATCAGAGTACATAGCAGCGAGTGCAACAGCAAAGGAGGCGATATGGATGAAGAACTTCATTGTAGACCTTGGAGTTGTACTAGCTATAAAGGAGCCTATTGAGATTTTCTGTCACAACGTTAGTGAGTTTGACTTAGACAAGTAACCAAGGGATCATGTTAGATCCATGCACATCGACATAAAATATCACTTCATAAGACACTAGATAGAAGGACTCCTCGTAGCAAAGATGGTATCGTCAGAGGAGAACCCATCAGATCCCCTCACGAAGGGATTGAGTAGGGTTAAGCACTTATAACTTGCGAGGTGTATCAGGCTGAAGGACGATATTAGTTTTAATGATTAGATAGTTTTTTGAAACTTGTATTAGATAAATTGTGATTGACATTTGATGATTAAATAAAAAGGTGTTTTATTTATAAGTAAAGTTATTGTCTTGTGTTAATTATTTACTATTGTTTCATTTTGCAAGTTTTGACTTCCAGAATAACTAAATTATTCAAACTATCCACAGTCGACCATACTTTGTAAGTAGGTATTGAGACAAGACTGTCATGAATCTAGCTTGTAGATGTTTGAATTGTTTAGACATAGCAAAGGATTGCAACAACATTCATGAATGCTCATAAGATCCGAGTATTGGATTTAACCCACGCTCACATGAATCACTTCATGGAATTTATCACGAGTGATTGTGAGACGTTAATTTCATATATTCTTCAAACCAAGAGATATGAGTTGTTGACTATGATTTGATTGTGCATTGATAGTGTGAAACCGCCTCAGTAACTTGATGCTATAAAATGTGTTATTATGTACAATTTAACGAGGAGTTAGTACAAACATATGAGTCAAAGTTTATCTGTTCCTTTTAGTCCTTGGAGGATTAAAAGTGATATATTGGGCCCCTCGATGATTTTGTTTTGACTTATGTGTCGGGCCTGGTCAGAACTTAAGTGATGTGTTCGATTAAGTTCTATTTCAAACAAATCGGAAATCGGGAAACAAATGTTGGACAATTAGAATGACTATGTTCAATGTATTTTTTCAGCTGATATCTTGGGAACAGAGGATTATATGATCCCTTATCTAAATGGCATGTCACAGTTCGACAAAGGCTTTTAAGAGCTACAATTTCTAGTCGGTTCCTAAAGTCGTACTTGCAACTATAATTATTAGACTTACCTAAGTGAGAGACTATTGGATAAGGTGTCTAAGTCCATAACTATATTTGGTATGTACTTGACCCGAATATAGCATGGTCTATTTGGGTTGCATTTCACTGGAACAATTTGAAAGGATGGACTTTGGAGAAGAGGTTATTTATGATTTATTAATATATTATAAGTCCTAATGTATTAACATGAAATCATATTATTTAATTACTATTAATCAAGAATTAATTTGGAATTCATTTAGCGATCAAAAGAGACTAATTAAATGTATGAGGATTGATTTGGTAAATCAGTGATTCTTATAGTGTAGGCCTATGGTTATTTAGGATGGGCTAAACCAATATGGTAGTCCATGGAGGTTTAACCCATGGATCCTAAGTAATATTAAAGGTCATAGTACATTAGGGTTTTGTCACACTATAAAAGAAGCCCCTTAGCTCCTAAAATCTACACTAGTTGTTCAAGAAGATCATAAGAGTCGATTTTGTGTGCAAGTCACTCTCTGTTAAGTCCTCCATTGTGGGTTGTGTTTTGTGAAACATTTGAGGCATCACATTTGGCGTGCTAGGCTCTTAAAGATTTAAGTTAACAAGTTACAACAAGAGGTAAGTAATCTCACTACTTGTTGTTCAATTACCTATGTTTTGTATACTAGTTAGGATGAATACTTTGGAAAATAAATTGCATGTATAATTAGAGAAAACATAGATCCAAAGCATCTAGGGTTGTATATGCACCTTAAGTTTGTTAGAGTGCTGAAAGTCCATCACTTAGGATAGCCTAAGGAGTATAACTTTTAGGACAGTTTTCTGCTCTTGAGCAAGTTTATAATGAAAAAAATATAACATTAACAATTATTAAAAAATAAAAATTATTTAAAATGGATTTCAATTTATTGCAATACCAAAAATAAATTACATAACGTTAACAGTGTAATTAACATTATTTTAAAAAAAAGTTATAAGGTTTTATTACTGGGATAGTTTTTTAGAGTTTTTAATAATTTTGGATTTTTAAAGTTTGATAAGTTAATATTAATGTATATAATACTACATAAAAAAATAAAAGACTATAAATAACCCGTCACTGCTATAAATTTTAAAATTATCTAAGTATATTTTTATTTATATATTTGTAATAAATAATCAAATTATTTGACTTTGAAATTAAAATAAAAAAAAATGTTTTGGTGTAAGAATAATAAATAAGACTGGGATTGATTGTTCAGATATCACTTTCAATTCTTTAATAATTGTTTATATATACACGGTAAACAGTTTATGATACGAAACAAAATGATGATTAATGATGGTTTTGAATTTTCAATATGGTGCGATTAAAATCCTCTACTATAGGTCTAATAAATTCGTAATGCCTTTTTCTATTTTGAATTTAAATTATCTTGTAATTAGTACATGCTATAGTGTATCGTAATATGTTACGATTATATTGCAAATTACACATCGTATTTGAATAAATTGTCATGGCCACACAAATTCGTTTTCTTGGTTAAGCATTCCTTGTAAAAAACATTCAACCATAACCAAACTGAAAAATTAATTAGCGGTTCAGTTAACACAAACGAAATTTCAAAAAATTTGGTTAAGTTGGGCAAGGATTTTTGGTTTTTCGGTTTTCAAATTACTTGAACACAACTATTTAGCTCATTGTTCACTATTTCAAAAAATTTGGTTAGGTTCTACAATGATTTTTGATTTTTCGGTTTTTGGATAACCTGAATACAACTATTTAGCTTGTTGCTGTTTAACTGTATTCTATAACTATTATCTCTAGACAGCTTGCTCTTAAAAGAAAATACGTACATTGAATGGTATTATCAATTATATCATACAAGTTACTTGTACTGAAAAGCAACATCAAATATTTAATTAACATTTCGCTTTAATTTGTATAGAAAATTACTTTTTTCTAACATTTTAAACATATTATTAAATTAGTGCTTACTTAAATCCCTATATATATGTGTTATTTTGTTATCACTTTGTCATAAATGAGTCGTTTTGTTTGTCTTGAGAAATTATTTTGGTTTTTAAAAGATAGGGCTTGGATTTTGATGATTTTGATAGAGGTATTATCATGTTATTACAATAATAAAGTACAATAATTTGAAGTAATATTTTTCTTAAAAGAAAATAGATTGAATGGTTTTATCAATTATATCATACAAGCTACTTGTACTGAAAAGCAACATGAAATACTAATAAATATTTGGCTTTAATTTGTTTAGAAATTTACTTTTTGCTAACATTTTAAACATCTTATTAAATTAGTGCTTACTTAAATCGCTATATATATGTGTGTTATTTTGTTATCACTTTGTGGAAGATTCTCTAAATTCTATATGATGGTTGTTAAGCCTTTTGTTCATGTATTTTTTTTGCTTTTAATTTGCACTACTGAAAATGTAGGTGGCAAAAGGCTTGTTGCCGAGGAAAAAATACCCCCTGTAGTTCCAAACTTGTTTAAAGCTATCCAACAAGTTATTAGCTTGTTGAATACCGTCATTACGATTCTTGATAATGTTGAGGATACTGGTAATGTTGGAGTGATGTCTATAACTGGGTTCTTAAATAAAATTCTTCAAAGACTGCAGGGAATTCTTCAACAGTCTAATGTTAGGGTTATAGGAACGCCTATAGGAGAGTTCATGGGTGATACTAGAGAAAGGCCCGATTTTGAGCATAACAATGGAGGAGCAGGAGGAGGTGTTGGTGGTGATGTTAGTAGCACACCTGGAGGTGGAATTTAAGTTAAATTAATGCAACTTTAATATCTCTTTATGTTGTATTGTTCTCCTTTAATTAATAAATCCGTGAGTGTTTTAAGTCATATATATTTATATGAATTATTTTTAAGAAACACTTTGAGCTATCAATCGTAGTTAACAAGTTAATTTTATAATCTACTCTCACTCTCTCTCTCTCTCTCTCTCTATATATATATATATATATATATATATATATATATATATATATATATATATATATATCCAAAATCATCCTTCCAAACAAATTTCAATTAGCCACATGAAGCTGTATAATGAGTTTTAAATTATTATCTATTATAATAAATGAATGTTTTTTTGCCACATGTCATCTTCTCCTTCATTTAAACACTTGGCATTTTCTAAAAATTTTAAATTTTCTATTTTCCACTTGTTATTTTATTGTAATTTTCATATTATTAAATTAAAATTGCATATTTAATGTGTAATATAATATATATGTAAAGTATTTATTAGAAAGAGTTTATATATATAATGTATTCAATACATTAAAGTTTCAATAATTTTAATAATTCAAATATTTTTTTTCATTTTTCTTATAAATTCAAACTTTTCAAATTGTTAAAATTTCATATTTTTTTAATTAAACCCATGTAATACATGGGTCTCACACCTAGTTTTTCATTAAAGTATTTTGGCATTTCATAATTTAGTCTACGTACTTTAAAAATATAGAATCCGACTTGGAAACCAACAAATATATCTTATACGGTTGTTGTGATCAAAAACTTAAACAATCAAAAAGAAATGAAGGATTCAACAATTCCAAATATGGTTTCTAACAATCTTTTACCTTGATTTGTGTAAACAAGAAATTAATCATATTTTTGAAAAGCTTTTTGTATTTAAGAAAAACTAGGGTTTGAACCGTACGTACGATGCTTTGGATGCCTGAGAAATTAGAAAATGCAGCTTGACATGGATAATGTTTGTGGGAAAATGTTGAGGCAACTTTCAATATAGTTACTATGCATATATTAAACTATGCGTAGTATGTATAGACAAACGAAAAGTTTTTTGTGCTTCATTAAAAAAATCATGTAGACAATTTATATAGATTGTCTTTTGTGGTGTTTTTGAAAAAATCATTAAAAAAATAATTTTATTTTATAAGAACACATGTATTCGGATAACCACTTTTTACTGTCTAAATTAGTAAATATGTAAAGATTCCATAGGTTTTTGTAGTTTTCTATTAAAATAAATAATCATACTTATTTTTCATAAACAATACCAAAGTTTAAAGATTTTTTCTAAATATTTTCTTGTTTGTTAAGTATGACTTATAAAAAAGAAAACTTTAGAAAGAAGTTATGTAAAGGATAAAAATGTAACTTTAATGAGCACCACAACTTCTTTGTAATTTATATATAGAATGTGATTTATAGATGTCAATAGTGACATTTATATAATATCAAGTAAATCATAAAAATATTAAAATAAAAATTTCATCACAACAACATAAACGTTTAATATGTTTAAATAAAAAGTGACATTAATAAAAGCAAATACTATATAAAAAGTTACATAAGAAGCAACAAAGCATAACATTAAAATATGTTAGGGGATCAAAATTGCAACTTATAAAATAGCAAAAGTTTAATTTTAAACTAGAAAGGTTACCCGATGTGGGGACCAGAAATTTTCAATATTGTCATTAGCTCCAGATCGTTTTTTTTTTTTTTTTTTTTTTTTTTTTTTTTTTTTGAAAAAATATAAAAGTTTTGACCGCAAGGACCAGAAGTATCAAAATGACTAAAAAATTAAAGGGGTAGGATTTAACAGTTTTTTAGAAAAATGATCAAAGTTGTCAAACCGTTAAAGTTTTCTGACCAAACTTTAAATATTTAAAAGTTCTTAAAAAGTGTAAAAATATTGATTGCAAGGACCAAAAGTGTCAAAATAACTAAAAAATAAGAAGTAAAGTTGCCAAAAACCATCCAAGTTTACTATTCCTAAATTTGAAACCCAACAATAATATATGATAGGGACCAATTCTGCCAAAAAAAATAGCAAATTTACTATTACTAACATTCATTTCTTAATATATATATATATATATATATATATATATATATATATATATATATATATATATATATATATATATATATATATATATATATATTATCAAAGGTGAAAATTGTGAAAACTACTACATCAAAATTTCTTAAGGGAGAAAAATATAAATATAAGAATTTACAATGGCTAAAGCTTAATTTCTATTTTCAAATAACACAAGAGTAGGCAAAGAGTTCATTAACAACATACCTATTAGAAGAATAAACATAAGCATACCATAAAATTAATCGACAAAAATGTAAATAGAAACTTACTGGTAATGACGTTTGGCGTTGCTCTAGCCTCTTCGATAGCGAGTTAAAAATCACAGCCCCAAGCCCTTGGGGGCTCCACCTTCCCTTGGTGCTATTGGAGATCCTTAGAGTGGCTGGCATTGTGGTCTGCATCGGCTTGGGGGTGAGCAATGGATACTTGACCTTCATATGGCCAACCTGATCACAGTGGTAGCAAATCTTGGTACTCGAAATTAGAGCCAGCAGACAACATTCCCTCACATAGTGTCCCTCCGTACCACATTTGTGACATCCAAAAATAAGCCAACAAGGACCCTCGTCAACCTTGCTATACTTTACACAAGTACGACCCCTCTAACTCCTATACCTCACATCAACGATTTTAAACCTCTTCGCTGCAGGCTGCGACTGGAAAATGGCTTGCCTCTATGCATTCGAGGTGTGATCCATAGCACTAGGTAGACATGAATTGACTAATGTATACCTTGATCATGTTCAAGTACCGAGTCGTTTGATCTTGCTCAGAAGCAGCAAACTCAGGGAAAAATATAGCTCTTTTTATAAAAATCTTAGTGATCTCCATCACCGACTCGATCCCCTTCCCCAGGTCCAAATAATCCTGGGCCAACCTCTCCCGATCCACAAATGGACCATATCGCAAGCGGAATATCTCATAGAACTACTCCCATTAACATCTGACAGTCACCTTATTGCAATGATTGGATTCTGAACCCCTGTCAAACACGAGGGATTTCATATTGTTGATGTCCCGGTACTAAAAAGCCCTTCCAGCGCCAATCCTTGCAACAACAACAATTAGGGTGGCTGTAACAACAGCAGTCTATGAAAGTGCAACATATCGGTCGTCGAATAACTCGATCATCACGGTTTTAAAAGACCCAAATAGCTCTAGTATTTTCCCATGGATAATAGAAAAAACCTCCTCACGAATGATCTACCTTACCTGATCCTTAGTGAATCCTGGCCCATCCTAGCCACCTGTCCAAGCTCCTGATCTGGATCAAGTCGCAAATCACGTCGAAACCACCATAATTAAAATAAACAAGTGATATATCAGATGATACACATATCATACGATAGGAACCATTCCAATAAAACCCTAGTGGTTATTACTTCCCTGCTACGTGTATGAGTTTTGTGCTTCTAGTAGTACATGCCCATACTACCTTCTACACCTACCCATATTTCTCTTAGAAGATCACCACAACAACCCTAACTAGACTCACTGAAACACTCGTACACCCTATTCTTACTTCCTAGAGAAAGGCTAGACATTCCTCGACTGATCAGTTGACACCAAATAACTCATCCATGAAACTTCCACTAACCCTGTAGCACTCGTGTATGCTAATCATATATAACACTGGATCTTATAAACAATCGAATACTTAATTCTACCCTAAGCCGACAACTAAACAAGGAACAGGAAATAAGGCTAAATAAAATATTCTCAGGATATAGAATCATATTTATGTATAATTTTGATGCACACACTAATCAACTATAGTAATGATGTCAAGTTCATAAAAGGAAGAACACCAGACTATCACACATCACATAATCAGGCAATTCTATCATGCAATTCCTGAAGATCCCTAGCCTATCACTAGCATGTTGTTCTACTTAATAATAGTTAACTGTGTCGTAACTTGGTATATACTTACTGTCTCCGATTGATCATACACATTGAATCCTTCCATGGTTACTTTTGAAAACAATTTTTAAAATCATTTTGAAACCTTTGCAAATCCTTTGTTTGAGTCTGGACTAGCACAAATGCTTATCCAATTATCTAAAACCAGGGCTCTGATACCAACTTATAAAACCTCAAAAATCACAATAAATTTTAAGTTTTCAAAACACCCATAATCAGAAAATGTGTACAAAATCATTGTTTATAATGTGTTTATCAATATAAGAGTATCCCAAAATCATAAGTTGTCACACCCCCGAACCAGACGGCGGAAACGTCCAGGGGCTTGTGTGTGACTTCATGTTGAAATATCATTACAGTGAATATAATTGAAACATAACATCATCATCATCACACATGTAATATTACAACATTCATTGTTTACATCAAGTATTGTATTTGAATATTACATGCCAAAATAGTAAGAGTATGATGAAACAAACTATAACCCAATATCCATTAGTTTGTTTCGTTTATCCTGCTTCAACGGTTTCCTGAGAATACAAGTTATTTTGAAAACGGTCAACATAAAAATGTTGGTGAGTTCATAAGCATGCTTGTGAAAATGATTTGTATAACTTTGAAAACCACCAGAAAATCCGATATTTTCTGAAAACTGTTTAGTGTGTTTGTGTTAGATCTTGTATTAATGCATGTATGTTATTGTTTATTTGACTAAAAAGGTAAAGAGAATGTAGAGAGAATGTAAGAGCATGTAAAGAGAATGTTCCCAGACAACCTGATGTTGCCTGTAAAAAAAAGGTCTTCCGTAAACTTCATAACGTTAATTCCTCTAAGCGAGCCGTCATAACCATACTAAATAATAACAATTTCGCCTGTCTTGGCGTCATTGGACGCCGGTTTTGATTTTGATTATAAGGTTTTCGTCACCCTAGACTGAGTTAGTCTAACTGTAGCGAACAGCTGAGGTGTAG